TGACAGCTTGGCGGATGTACTATATATAGTAAGTCCAGGTTTCATTCACATTACACAAATTCAAACTACACAGATATACATATGTTTAAACTGTCACACAGTTCATTCCTCTTTAAAATGTAGTACCTACAAGTATGGATTTAGGAGGTAGCTCCAGTTTTTCTTTGGTTTCATTGACTGTGATATTAGGACAAAGACCGATTCACACCAAGAGCAAATATTTGACTAAGACTCATGACAGACAGATATATTGGCTGATAACCACGTCCAGTCGGATGCTTAATAGATGTGTCGGTTCTGAAAATCTACCGATAGACATGTCAAAGACTAATTAATATGTATTAATATGTACACACTGGTATTATTATATGAAAAACCTGTATCAGTGGACCACTAAACAACACTTTTCATTTAAACTGCATTAGGATGTTGTTGTTTTTTTACAATGTTTAAAAAAGTTTTGGTGCATTTGTCCGGACAGGTAGAAAGCTGTCAATGCAGCTTGACAATCAAGTCTCCAACACAATCATATAAAACAATTATAATAAGAACAAACAAGAGGAACAAAAACAAGCCATATGAAAATCACATGAAAATATGTTTAACATATTTAATACTATACAGATACAAAAACATTTTATTACAGCATCTGAACTATTATTGCTAATAGCTCACCTCAATTATTTGCATAATGCTACAATTCATTATAATCCTATATAACACTGTAACTAGGGCTGCACGATAAATCGAAATGGAATATAGATCACGATTCGACAGAAGCTGCGATTGTCATGCGTATCTTTCAGTGAAGCGCAGTTCTGTGATCAGCAGTAAATCTCCATCCGAAGGCCAGAGGGCGCTCTCGCGCTGAAACTCCAAATACTCCTCGCAGAAGAAACCCAGAAAATGCCTATCGCTGCAGCTGAATAAACAGAAGATTCAACTGCTTTCATTGATTCAACGTGACTAATAAAGTAATCATGCAGCCCTAACTGTAACTATATCAGTGCATTAAAGCGAGTAAAATTTGCATGATCAAGTTCCTGAGTGTGTTTTGTTTCATTCTGGTGTGAACAGGCCTTAATCCATGTAAAGTGGCCACACTAATTCCATTAAGATCAACCAACTAAAACTTTCAGTTCCAATATAATGGCATCCGGACAAGTTTAGGATCACGTGTGTTCTTGGAAAAATTATAATTCTTGATTAAATGTCTCTGTCTTTGTGATAACACCAGTCTCTTAAACTTTAACCTACTCAATTTCTAGGAAGGTCAGTTGGCTTGAGGTGCGGTCACAATTTCTGTTGACCAGCGAAATTTCTTGCAAATTCATCGCACTGACTTCTATGTAACATTGACAACAGACAATTGTTTTTTTGCACATAAAATTTCACTAATGTGTCTGCAACTGTGAAGTGTAGCTGTTGCACATCTGAAAGCTGCTAGTGCCTGCATGTAAGTCTCACTCACCCTTGAGTGTCTGTGGGGTTGGTGCCGGTGCTTCCTCTACAGCAGCTGGAGCTTCCACAGGTGCTGGATCGGACTTCTTGGCTTTAGCTTTAGGCTGCTTGGACTCCTTAGATGCTTCTGACAATGAGGAGATTTGCAGGGGTTCGATCTTTCCCTATATATACATATATATAAAAAAAATCTTAAGATTATTTGACATCATTGAAGGCATACATCAGTACAACAGAAGCACAGACAGCTGCATAGATTAATCTGGTCTAAGAATCAAAGACAGACAAAGCAAAAGTGAAAGTGATTGCAACTCTTACTGGTTTCTTCTGTAAAGTGACGAGTGGAGGAGGGGGCGGCCCAAGCGCCATCTCAAACAGTTGATCCGAGTACGGAACGCTCTTCTCAACATTTGCCCGAAACTTCGGGTCCCATTTGGCATAAAGGATTGTACCGCCAAGACCACCACCGACCGTTAAAAGACTAGCAGCCACTATTTTCCCAGCAGTAGATCTGCAGTACAAAAAGATCTCATTTAAGGTGCAGTCGAGTGTGATTTGACATTTGTCTCACACACAAGACCAAGGTAAACCTAACATTCATCTCAAACATGTCTAATGCACGTGTTAAAATATTTCAAAGATGTCTAATGCACAATGTGTTAAAATAATACAAAAACACCCAACTTTTTAAAATGAGTAAGTCTGCGATATTATCGTAGCCCTGTGTGTTTAAGGTTAAATTCACAGTTTGATGTCGTACCCAGAGTCCCCAGCCGTGGAGTATCTGCGGCAGAGCTGCAACGGGTGGGCCTTCACTTTACCACACACACATTGCTGCAGAGAAACAAACAAACAAATCACCATCTCACCTGCACTACAGCAAAATATATTGCATCATAAGCTACAGTATTAAAAGTAATAGGTTCCTTTTACACTGACAACAACCTCTGCTACACTAATTAATCACAAACAGCCATTCATTCCAGAAGTAAATGCTGTTCAGTAAAAACAGGTTTCCATTGTTGGTCTTTTTGTGACTTAAAAAAAAAAAAAAAGGTGGATTCTCAAAACATGATGACTATCATTGTGGATCAAGCATCCAGTAAAACACAATAAACAACAATGAATGACTGAATGAATGAACGGCTGCAACATTAGTTTATTTGTCTTTATCGACTATAATAAGAGGGTTTAAAGTTTAGCAGCTGTTACACATAGCATCGATTATTCATTAGACTAATTTACATAGAAGCACCGCAGCAGACATGGATTAGCAGCGTTTGTGTGAGGAAACTTTCTGAACTTTTCACCGGCAAGGTCACGTCCTTCCATTAGACAAAACCTATAAACAGTTCACGGCGTGTACGGGGTGTAGCTCTTTGATAAAAATGTTAGAACAAGAGTAAAATACTATTAAATATAAATAAAGGTGAATACATGTAAAACGAAACGTTTTCAGACAGCAGATAGCTATGTTGGTTATCCGGGTAACAGAAAATATGAATCATACATAGCCCGCCCATATTTACGCAGGTGTACATGCTGTGTTTTTATTGGTGGAGGGAGGCGTCACTCCCTTAATCGTGAGATATCATTGGCTCGAAGAACCTGTCAATCACACTTTGAACGCCTCTTACGATCACACGTTACGTCGTTGACGTACAGCAGCATTCTATCCTGGTGTACCGCTTAAACTGCACATAAACAAATCTCAACTAATTAAACTATCAACTCGTTAAGAAGATTAGTTTAACATAATCACCGTTTAACTTGACAAACACGACAGAGCCTAGTATAATCCGTAATTGTACGATACGCGTAAGAAACATCGGGCCTCGCTGTGGGTCACTGAATAACCGTTCTAGCAAAATAAAACTCACCCGCGCTGCTGCATGTGCCCCTTTCCAACAGACGCGCAGCATGCTTGCCTCTTCTGATTCTGGGTGTTGGATGTCAGATTACAAATATGCCACCGGTTTCAGCAAAACATTATAAAAGTGATGAACCTCGACAGCAATTTCGCCCCAGCACACTGTCGATTAGCCCCAGCGCTGGCGCACGTAGTGACAGAGCAACGCACGCGCGCTACGCACACCCAACGTGACGCATACGTCACACGTTCATAGAAAATAAATATTCCGTTTTAAAATGATTTTATTCATTGATTTGGTCCTTCTACACTCTTATGCAACGATCCTTATTCTTCTATAAATATTTTTTTTCCCTCAAATTGGATCATTCGTTGAGACAGCTGCTGAGATACATACTTCTGTAGAGTTACAGTTTGTTACTAATGTAAAATACAACTGAGCAAGCGATCTCTTTCAAAGAGTGTAAATTCTTTTTGTCATTTTATTTTTATTTTGACGATAGTGGCAAATGTCACGTGAGATCGCTTTTCTCCCAATCCCCCCAAAAATCAAAAGTAAAAATATATTTTGCATATATAAACATTTTTTGTTCGCATTGTGGCATTATTTTCAGCGCAAATAAGCACATTTCCCCTAAATTATGCAAAATACCGTAGCCACATTCTCATTACTGTAATGTGAAAAAAATATATGAAAAGTAATAGCACCTCAATAAACCGCATTAATACCCGAGGTATTATTATATTTTGTGATATGGTCAATTATTGTAAGAGACATAAGGTGAAGGTGCAAGGAAGACTACTGCATAATTAACATGTAAAAACTACAGATGTGTAGATTGTTTAGGCTAACTCATGTTTAAAAGTTTACTTACCATTTTACTTTAAAATGGTAGTGACTGGATAAAACTGAGGTGGAAAACAAATTAACTTTATTGAATTGAAGGAAATTACAGGTTTAAATTCCCAAATCACTTTTAAACTCTGACAAACAGCAAAAGTCAAGGGGGTAAATTCTTTATTAGTGTTAGTGGCAAAACGCTGTTCAAAAATAAACAAACTAACATGTTCCAACATGACAATAACCTAATTGCAGATGGAGCCATTAAGAATAGCATGTCAAAGCCTTAGCCATTTTCAATTATGCACAGGGCAGTTTTATTCAAGTTATGTAAAGCTATTCTTCTTTTCCAAAAAAATTTAAATAAAATTATGACATGCCCAGATGGTCAATTCTTTATATAAATACTCGCATCTCCTTAAGTCTTCAATTCCCCAATGACTTAGTAGGGGGTCTCAATTTTAGAAAGATTATTCACATTTGGAGACACACTGAACACAAGATGTAATTCTCAAGTACAGGAACATGTGGATTTCTCTTCTGTCTGATTGGGATGATGAGTGCTACAACAGAAACTTTTCAACCATATGCATTGAATTTACCATTCAATATTTTATAATTTGCATAATTTAGCTTTTAAAATCTATTCTTTTTTATCTAAGTACAAGGTATATGACTCAAATCAAGTTTTTTCCCCATTAAAAAAAAAGATTTTAATTAATACCTGTGCAAGTTAAAACCACCAACAAAAACTCAGGAGCCAATGTTATGAATCTAAAGGCTAAAGATGAACACATTAAGTCAATTGTTTTTTTTTCCTGTTGTTTTTTTTTTTAAATAAGTGAAGGAAGCAAGACATAAACTAATCGCACCAGGACTATTCTGGTTCAAGCTGTTCAGTTGCATGTTGTCTTGTGGGTTTTTTCTTGTACGATGGCCACCGGCAAACAGGGCAACAGTGCCGCCCACCAGCTAGCCAGACCACGATGCACTGCTGGTGAAAAACATGGCCACACGGTAAACCCATGACAAGGCAATCTGTTTCAAAGTTCTCGAGACATACAACACACTCAGTGCACTGGAGCATGCCACAAGGCCAATGAGACCAATCAGTGTCCTGTTCCCCTCCACCAGACCACGACTCCTCTGACTTCGTTGCAGCCGAACACCCGTCATTATTGTGAAGAACTTCAGAACTGTAGTGATGCACTTCCTGGTCCCCGCTGGAGCCGCCATTTGGGTTTGTCATGGTTTTTTGTAGGTTGTCACGTTCCACTGGGTTGAGCCTCTCAGACTGAGCGAGTCTGAACTTCCAGGTGGCCAGGTTCTTGATGTAGTCTATCGGAACAAGCGGGCGAAGCCAGAGGTCTGGGAATGCCAATCTTTGCAAAAGGAAATTGGGATCATCATCCCAGTCGGACTCAAAGTTCTGGAACGAGGCAATGGGATGTACTAAGTAGCTGGTGTACCAATCCCAGAGACTTGACAACCACTCTAGGTTGTTTGCGTTTTGGTCTTCGTTGCTACATCTTCTTTTCTTCTCAAAGTAGTCGATGAGAAGGCCATGGGCTAGATAAGTGCTGAGGAAGAGAGCTGGGTGAGATGAATAGAAGGTCCAGTCGGCCCGAACCCATGAGGCTATAGTAGTGGTGTCTGCGTAACGCAACAGTTTCAGGCTGTACTCATAAAAGTTATCCAGGTATGGAAGCTGCAGAAAACCAAGGATGGGCAGCCAGGAAATGATGAGTAAGGAGTTATAAGTCCCCAGTGTGCTGATTAAAACCACAAAGCGTTTTATGGTGGCTCCCTGCGTAATGAAAAGGTCCATCCAAGCCATTAGATTGACCATAACCAAGCTCAAAATGAACAAGTCATTGACTTCTGGCTGTACGGATCGAAGAAATGCATCCATGGCATGCAAGGAAATGAATTCCCCGGTGCTATTGCCGTATCTGTAGATGCCTTCTGGTGTTTTGAGGATGTATGAGGGCATTTGCTGCACCCCAATCTCCTCCAGACAGCTGGTGTTGTCCCAGTTGCGCACATCGACGAAGATAAACTCGATGCGCCCTGTGAATTTGATGCTGAGAGCTGAGAAGAACGCCGGGGGCTGAAGCAGTCTGGCGAACAAGAACATCTTCACTGGTTGCTTTTCCATCTGATACCAGTCATCCATTAATTGCTCAGAGAAACGTATGGTTTTGATGCGAGAGGCGACGTGCGCAGTCATCCACTTAAAGATGTGCTCTGTTTCGATGCGTCTGCCATTGTACTCCTTCAACATGACCTTCCCTTTGGATGCATTGGTCTGCGGGACAGACATGATGAGGGTGGACTTCATCCAGCCCCGTTTATGGCAATACCTGACAACGAGGAATGAAAACAAACAAAAAAAAAATTTCAGACAATGAAACATCTTCTATGATAAATATTGTGAATTCATGGATTGAAATTTATTTACATATAATATCATTTACACTGAACAAAATTATAAACGCAACACTTTTGTTTTTGCCCCCATTTTTCATGAGCTGAACTAAAAGAAAAAATGTCCGGAGGTCAGAATGAAGGAAGAACATCTGATTGTCAAAATCTCTTAATTACTTAAATATTAATTAGTCAAGCTATTTGGATTTGAATTCCTATTTTAAAAATGTTTGTCCATTTCATCAAAGTGAGGGTGGTGTAACAAATGTAGGAAGTTATTTTTTCAGTTCAGGTTGTCAAATTGCGTAGTGTCATGCAGTTTAGAAATAATTTTGAAAAATAATACAAATTATTACAACATACTGATGTTAACTTTTGGTTTGAAAAAAAAACATGAAAATAAATATTTGCGTATTTTCCTGTTTGATACTGTAAAGCTGCTTTGACACAATCCGTATTGTTTAAAGCGCTATATAAATAAAGTGACTTCACTTGAACAACCAATGACTCAATTTCTTTTAGAAACATATGTGGAGAATATATTCCCACATAGTTGTAACAGTTTGTGTAAAAAAAAAAAACATTTTGGTCAGCTGTTTACCATGCAGCGCATTTCAATCATGCAATTCTTGGTTGATCAGCTCACAGGAATGTGATTAACAGCCTACTTTCAGTTGTTAGAGGTATACTGCTGAAAATAAGTGGCGTCTTTCTTACCTTGAGTCACTTGAACAGTTGAAAATGCCTGTTCGAATGCCAAACTGAGAAACTTTCTGTACCACTTTGCCCCAGTTGGCAGTGCTCAACAGTGGATTTCTATCTTGGGCTATTACCTAAGAAGAAGAAAATTATCTTTTCATATACAACATAAAAGTATTTAATATATATTTTTTATATTATGTAAACAAAAACATAAAGTAACACCCATGTCTATGTTGTGTACAATGACACATTTAGATGAATAAAACTGGGATAATAATTGTAGCGTCTGCGTAGGATCATGCATGATCTTTGGGGTTTTATGGCTTAAGAGACCTTTTTAGCCTTTTGACATTTGCATATAAATTACAGTTCTGGTCAGAGACTTTACGTTTGTATGGGGGTTTATTAATAATTATAATGGATAATTTTGCTGCAGCAACTGATACTAAATCCTGTTGGGTTCCATTCTAACACAAGCAGACATCTTAATGTGTATGAGAACAGTACAGACACATTACATTTCACTGAACTGAGTAGGCTGTGGTTTCAGTTTCTGTACCACCTTTCAATAACTCATCTAAAAATTAAACTTCTGTAAGTATCGTCATGCGCCCATGTCATTCAAACAGCAACAATAAAACCATAGCAGCAATATTAAAGCTGCATGAACATTTAGAATTCCATTTCTTAACTGAACAGAATGTTGGTTTGGAATGATATGCAAGTAAATAAATAACACAGTTTAGATACAGGATTAACACTAACCTGAACTAGCCAGATACCATCTTTAGTGTCTTCCACTAATTCATAAAAGTGCATTTCTCCACTGAAAGTGGTGCTGGAGTCAGATCCCACTTGCTCCTTCTCGTTCTTGAGAGCTGAGTAGAGCTCCCCTTGCATCAGCTCCCCTTCAAAAGCAAACATTGCATGATCATGATCAAACTGAATTGTTAAAAAAAAAAAGTGTATAGGTGTCAGTGAAGGTAAACAGCTTGTTCGCAGACAATTACCCGAGTTTTCCACCAGTTCCCTCACGTCCCTCTTCTCCGCCAGGCCGGAGTATCCCAATCCACGACACTCCAGGATGGTTTTGAGTTTCTTGAAGCTCAATGTCACCGGATCCACCAGCTGGGTGCCGAAAATCCCCGTCTCATACCAGACGATGGCTTCACAAAACCGAGCCAGGATGAATAACATGGAAAAATACAGGAGCAAAAAGAAAAGTTTCCACCACATTTTCTCGCAGACGGAAGACTTTTCCTTGTGATCTAGCTGATTTGCATTGAAAGTACAGTGTTATGAGGCACTGGCGTATTTTACACGTCTCCAGCGAAACTACTTCCTAAGCAGGTAAGAATCGTCTCCATCGTGTTATATAATTATGTGGAGGCAGAGCGTCAAAACAACAGCTTCAGAAGAGCCCTTCAGCAGGCCAGTGTTTCGTCCCGAACGAGCCGCTCTCTTCATTCAAATACATCCACTGCCCCGTCACGTTTTCCTCCAAATACTACAAACCCGACATCTTGTTCGAGATGCTGCAGAAGGGTAATGTTTGTGTGCGCGTGAGTAGTGTTTTCTGTCGGCTCTGGCCGATGATCAGCTGGTGCACACAACAAACTGACGTCACACTGGAACTTCCGGTGCAAAAAAGAGTTCTAAAATGAAAAAGGCCCGTGTAAACTCTTTCACGTAAGATGTATTCAGTGTTAATATTAATATTATATGTTTTATTAGTATGCTAATTCAGATATTGTTTTAAATATATCACCTTTATTTGACCCCCTAACTCTAACACGTTCTATTCTATTTTAATTCTACTTTATCTATATTTATCTTTTTTTTTTTTATTTTTTATTTACAAAAAACAAAAAAAACAAACACTAGATTTCTATTTTTTCTATTCTATCTACTTGTTTTTCTTTGTGTGTGTGTGTATATTATATATATATACACACCTTGCTACGTGTACTGCGTTAGGCTAACCGAGACTTGTCATTTGCACTTATATATTGTTGCTCTTTTGTTAGTTTTCACTGCTTCTGTTGTCCTCATTTGTAAGTCGCTTTGGATATATATAAATGTAAATATAAATGTAAATATTTTATTATTGGTATTGTCCATTTTGTATTTAGTTATTAAGGAAAGTGAAATATACCTTTTATACATTCTACCTGCTTTTGCTTAATGTTTTGCTTTTACATGTTTTTAATTTGCATACTTTTAATTACATTATTTTAGTATTGATATAACTGTGTATTTTGAACTATAAGTCATGAGAGACTTGAATATGTTACCTGTTTTTGTAATGCATCATTAAAAGTGTCACAAAATTAAAGCCCTTCAGTTTTAATCTTGGATCATCTCACTTATCAAATTCAATATTTTGTGTTCACTTCATCTGTTTGCATCTGCACCTTTAAGCTCAAGTGCACGTGATAATAATATCATGTTATTATCATGGTGGGTTTATTATTATTTGTCAGTTGTTCTATTATTTTAAATATGTTAATGAATCTGTATTTTAACAATTGAAGAAATAAGTGCAGTATATCTGTTTAGTAAAGTTGTCGACCATCAAACACATCACATCAGAATAATTAATTTTAATTCCACTATGAATTTAAAAAAAAATATGTCTGTGTTCAATAAATTGTTATACTTATTAAAATACAATTGTTTCAAATATGTTTACAGTTCTGTACGTTTTATGCCTTTTTTGTAATGTTCATGAGAATCAAGAAGTGTCACAAAATAAAAGCCCATATATTATGGGATACATTTTCTGCCAAAAGCATTGCAGTCATGTATAAAAAAAATTATAATAATAAGCGTGAAACCAAAGTTAAAAAACGCAAGTAAAAATATATTGCACAAAATTTAAAAATGAATAGCAAACAATGGTCACGGATCGAAAAATAATAAGCGTAAATTACAAATTTAATAACGCATTTAAAAAAAAATAAAAAGTTATATGTGCCTGGCTCGCCTATACCTAATTGATAAGTCTTGTCATGTTTATTACTTTTAGGAGAGGATAATATGAGTAAGAGTAATATATGCCAGTCAAAATGGTTTAGTTCACTGTATATTGCTCATAATTGTTAATTGTCTGTATCTTATTTTTTGTCATGTATTGTTTTTTTAAAGATTTTGATTTATGATTTGCAGCGTTGTCTTTTATGTGCAGTGTGTCATTGATAAGGTTGTTGGTTTTGTAAGATTTATTACATTTTGTGTTACTCTGAGATTATAAAATGACAGAGTTAAGCAATTTCACACGAGGAAGAGTGCTGTTTTCCCGAATATCAGCACCATTGCAAATGTTTATTGAACTGTAGTATAAAATCAATATAAGAAGTAAATTTTGAGTGAGTCTTAAACACAATAATGTAACTATTTTCTACGAAGAGTCCAAACAAAGCCACAGCAGAACAGTGTCCTCTACGAGCAACACACAGCAGCCTTTCCTACTGAATGAATTGGTTTCGATTTGAACGAATTGTCAGTGAATCAGCTGCTTGAATGAATGATTTAATGACTCACTCACTCAAGTTAGTAACTTGCCGCCACCTACTGGCTGTTTTACTTTCATATTGCTGCTATATTCAAACTTGATATATTTAAAACATTAATATGATAGTGTAATGCAATTATATATGTACCACAATAAGTATGCAAATAAATCATTGTGTATATCAAATCCACCTGGCCTCTGCAACTGTCTCTGTAACAGTATCGTTTTCATTAATCAGTAGTCAAATTTAGCCTAGGCAATGAAAAAACATTACATTCATTCATAATAAACTTACCAATTTAATGGTAATGGATCGCCAGGTAGGCGCATAGCAGTGACACACAGACACATAGCTGATGGTTATCCATTCTCACCTGTACAAGTGAACACTGAGCAGTGAGCATCGGCAGCCAATGGGGCGCATTGGAGTGACGTCAACTCCTCTCTTCGACTGATTGGTTAGAACAGCTGTCAATCTAGAACTAGTGGACCAATGATGGCGCTTAAACCCGCTCTGATTTACATGAAACTCTAACCGCAACATTTGTAAAAGCAAGCGTAGAACCATAGACTGTATAAAACAGAACATGGAAACAAGAGCGAAGTGAAAAACTTCGGAAGCGTATTGCATTCACTTGAGGAAAAAAAATCTACTCTGTTTTTCTGAATTAACGAGTTAATTATCTCAGAATAAAATAAAAAATAAAAAAATATAAAAATATGAGCAGAAAATGTGTGACAGCACAAAAAAATAGAGAAATATTACTAAAGAAAACATGATTTTGTGTGCATGTCGGTTAATTTTGCATTAAAATTTCAGTTTTGTTCAATATGGTTTTAAATCTGTTTAAAGTTTTGATTCATGCTTATTTTTATTTTTTAATGCGTAATTAATTTTTTTGATTTACGCTTATTATTTTTTGATCCGTGACCATTGTTTCCTATTCTGAAAACTTTGCTTTCATTTTTAAATTTTGTGGAAAAATATTTTTACTTGCGTTTTTAAATTTTGGTTTCACGCTTATCTTTTTTTTTTTTAATCCGTGACTGCAATACTTTTGAGGAAAATTTATCCCATACACATTTTGTCCAAATTCAATAATCTGAATTCACTTTACGGGCTTGGATAAAATAATATTTGCAACTCAAATACTGTAAATTGTCCTCGTCTTTAATTTAAACTCCCGTCAATCGGTAAACGCAAACACTAGTATAATCTGAGTTGTTTTTGTGTCTGCTGAAGGGAGCGGTCGCGTGAGTGTGGAGGAGGGCGTGGCGTGACGCGTCTGACGCGTCTGACGCGGCGAGCTGGATATAGCCGAAGTCTCCTCTACACTTCAATAGATCAGTGTCGCTCTTGGCGGTTTCAAAATAACATTGTTTGTCAGAAATGGAGGTGAACACATGCAACATTCAAGTGCTTCTGCAGGCAGCTGAATATTTGGAGCGAAGGGAAAGAGGTATTAGACGCGTTATTTCTTTCACATTGCTTGCATTGAAACCGAAGCCGTTTCGGACAGTCTGCTGTTTGCGTGGATTTTGTACACATTCATTAATGTTTGCAGTCATTATTTTTTCATGTGGGCACTGGGTGTGTTTTCCTGTTTGCAGAGCGTTGTTTGTGTGTTTGTAGAGTGGTAAACATCGCTTTTATTGTTGATATGATCGTGTTTGGCTCGGTGACCTACATTTCAGTTCTGTATTGTACACAAAGGCGCGAAATCGTCATAGATTTGAAAATGTAGCAGCGCTGGCCGTTATTCTGCTACAGTTACAGCGGTTCAACAAAGACGTCGCTTGCATCACTGGATACATAGTTACAGTGCAAAGCATTGATTTCAAAATTGCCAAATCGTTCGATGGCGCCAAAACCAGAAAGCGGTCTCGCATACAGCTGATTTGATGAGACGCTGCTGACATACAGCAAATATTTCCCTGTATCTCATGGTAGAACCTTATTATTTGACTTTGTTTTTAGATTTATAACCAGGCACCAGTCCGATGTTTCTGTAGATGTACAAAATAACTCATTTTTAGTCTGTTTAAAGGATCGTACATGAGAGGAAGTAGGCTGCGCTATTGATCACTCATGTTATGTACTATACATTTTCAGAGGCCGAGCACGGTTATGCCTCAGTGCTTCCATTCTACAGTAAAGGAGATACAGATAAGAGAAAAAAGCAGAAATCAAAGATTCCGTCGCCTGGGAACAACAGGTGAGTGTAAGGTGCACAGACAAAAAAATATAATGGAAGTCACTGTGGTCCAATTTTGTTTGGAGCCCAACAATCCTTAACCCTGTGACCTCATATGAGGACATTTATATTTTGGTGTATTTCTCTGAGACTATACTGTGACTATACTGATGTCCTGTACAGAGCACATTCAGGGCTTTCCAGAGATACTAAATGTTTGGATGTTTCACCATCACCACTCCCTCTTCTTGGTCTTCAAACATGTCTGATATTAATTTAGTGACACTCTTATGGAAATATGATCATATTTTGTAATTATCATTTAAATCTGTCTAATTTTTAAACTGTCTGTCATAAATCAACATCTCAGGAAAATGTTATGGGGTTTCAAATCAAAATATGACTTTCTGTTACGAAACAGGAGGTTGATTTCATACATGTCCTCATATGAGGACACCGGAACTAAAAGCATGTTTATTACGCATTTTGGGAGACACAACAAATGAATCGGGAAAGAAAATATATTTCAATATTCCTATGAAATATTATATATTATTATGAAAATCTTGTCAAATATTACTCCCATTATTACACTTCTTTTTTCATTACATGTTGCCCCAAAAACACATTAATATGCAAATAATATTTAGTTTATAGATACATTATATACAGCAGTGGTTCCCAACCCTGGTCCTGGAGGCACCCCAACACTGCACGTTTTGCA